GTTAAAAAGCGAGAAGAGGTTGGTAAAGTTTGTGTATGACAAATAAAATTAGTTAATTTTGCTTTCAGAAGGTCACAACTAACAATTTTATGATCGCTGATTGCTCGCTCATCGCGTTGCTCATCGTTACAGCTAATCGCTATTGTGACCCTCTGAAGCTAAATTGACAGGTTTTATGTGCCATACACACACTTTAACTTCTTTTCTTGCATCTTGTAAATAAGAATTATCATTAAAATATCTCATAGCTTCATAAATCCGAAAAATATCATTTTAGCTGTAATGAGTATTTGCAAGCTTGCTTGCAAATTATTTAAATTATTAAGCTTAATCTGGAGATGTATTTAATGGGTTTGTTTTTAATGTGTTTGTTCTTCAGTGTACCTACATTGATATGTACATTCATTCCAATATTGTTACTCATATGTTGATAGTTGCAAATATTATAATGCAAGCTAATAATATTGGTTTATTCCTAGCCCTTTATTATGTACAATATGGACTAAAGTATTCGCAATACCTATCGGTATAACTTTCAAGAAAACTAGAATAAATGATAAAATTCTGACTACGGTTCTAAAGGGTTCCATCTTTGGACCTACCCACCCTACCCTCTTTTCATAACATGGAACGTGACTTCACAACCGATGTTTGAAATTTCCGCGTGCACATCGCTGAACGCTGCTGCAGATGACTATTTTGCGCTTGACGTTTTGGCGATAGCAAAGAGCGGTAGGGTTTATTTAATTATCTAGGTGAGATTTTTTTCACGAACAACTTGTTTTGAAGTTGTGGTTCAAAATGAATTCATTCATCTTTGTCGGATGGAATTGTTCAAAGTGTGGGCGGAGAAGATCAAAATATCAAAGTTCAGAATATACAGTTGATTAACAAACCCATTGATGACATTTCAAGATAATGCATTTTTTATATAGTTGTAAATTTTATCATGAGTAAGTAGTAGGGTGTCCCAAAATTGCACTATGTCTGGTAATCTGGGGGCTCACCCTCCAACTGATAGCTAAGAGTGTTACAAACAAACTTTTGTATGGTGGCAACTCTGGGAAATGTTGTTTAAAGGTCGCTTTGGCGATATTTTTGAAAAAAGTCCATTTTTCATAGTTTCGGCAAAGTTTTTGCTTATAAAATTTCCCATATATTTGCTGCATTTAATTGAAAATAGCGCTATGTTTGATACCCACTTTTGATGATTGAATGCAGTGATGTACAACAAAAAACCTCATTTTAGATAATTTTAAAAATTGTAACTAACAAATTGGACACAGAACATGCCGCAGCAATTTTTTCTCTTATAGTTTTGACCCTTGGGAATCTGAAAAAAATATAAAAGGGTGAGATTTCACTGAAATTTAAAGAACTAAAAATATTAATTGGATAATAGCTATAAAAAATGGACTTTTTTCAAAAATCTCGTCGGGGCGACCTCTAAACAACATTTTTCAGAGTTGCCGCCATACAAAAGTTTGTTTGTAACACTCTTAGCTATCAGTTGGAGGGTGAGCCCCCAGATTACCAGACATAGTGCAATTTTGGGACACCCTAGTAAGTAGCACACTCGTAGCACACATTGGTTTATAACTTGTACTAAATATATATAAACGAAATTTGACTAGGTACCCCTCGGTACCCAACGCTCAAATTTTCAGGAGTACTATTTTATAAGGTGATCTTCCAAATACAATCAGTTTTCGACTACATCAGGGCCCGCCTACCCTATTTTCGAGCCATTGAATATGACGTCACAAAAACGCATGATGGGGTACATATAACATTGACTATTTCGACTCGAGATTTGACTAGATACCCCTGGAAACCCAGCACTGAACTTTTCAGGAGCACTATTTTATAATGTAATCTTCGAAATTCAATCAGTTTTAATCCCTGCCAGGGGCCGCCTCCCATCTTTTCGGGCCGTTCAATATGGCGTCACAAAACCGTCCGATGGGCTGTATATGATATTGACATTTTCGAATCGAGATTTGGCTAGGTACCCCTCAGTACCCAACGCTGAAATTTTCAGAAGTACTATTTTATAAGGTAATCTTCAAAATACAACCGGTTTTAGACACCGCCAGGGCCCGCCCACCCTCTTTTCGAGCCGTTGAATATGACGTCACAAAAACGCTTGATGGGCTGTATATCACATTGATTTCAATGAAAAGCATTGGTGTATTCAGCAAAGTTGTATATTTTAATGATGCCAACAATTTCTTAGAACATGATAAATTGATCAAATTTGAAAAAAGCACTAATTAACTCAAAAAACCAATATTAAGGTAGTCTTAAAAGAAAATCTATTATAGCTCTACAGAGTTATGATGTAGAAATTTGGTGTCTATAGCAAATGTTCATAAAATCAACTGCTCTACAACTTTGTCCAAGACATGGAACCATTATCTCGTAACTGAAAAAAGTTAGAATTTGGATGTGTAATACTAGCTTAAAGATTATTTAGGTGTTTATTTCAAAAGATGCGAGATATAATTTTGAGCAACTGCTCCCAAGACACCCAGTCTCTAAAACGTCGAAAAAGGGTAGAAAATATTTTTGACCGTCTTTATTCATATTCGTGCCACTGTGTGCCGCCAGGGGCCAGACGGCCTAGCCGGATCCATGGCAGCTGCGCGGCGAGCGGCGTGGCGTCCGTCCGTGGGTAATTTTCTTCCCTCCCATCATCGCATCGCAGCATCGTATCTTATTGAACATTGATCTCGATCTGATTTTCTGACTCTTCTCTGTTCTTTTCTTCCGCCACCTTCTCACCAACCCGAATGATCGACAGGCCATCGACGGAATCGTTCGTAGCGCCATTAATGGTAGTGGAGCGCCATCGGCGAGATCTACGCACCCGAACACGTCCCAAGAAGCACATCAACAGCTGTCACTACCAAGGACACATCCGAGGTCATGAGCAGTCCCGTGTGGCACTGTCCGCCTGCAACGGACTGGTGAGTGGAACTTTTCCTTTTTTCCTATATACATTGTAGTATCATTATCGTATTAAACTCACCGAACGACAATCCGTCACTCTCCCGGAATTCATGTGAATCATATTAAGTTACTACCCGGCGACTAACTGTCAGCCGTCCAACCGAGAGGGACGGCACTCATTATCGAACGTATCATTATAATTTCATTAGGGCAATTGATTCATTTAGAAGCAATTTAAGCAGCGGAGGGTCTTGGTCCGTCACGAGCAGCACGTCATGGTAAATGCAATAAATGAAAAATTTCCGGTCCCGTCGACAGGTTTTCGCTCATTTGAGAAAAGTTAATTAATTTTTAAATCGTGAGATCTTGATTCAGCCAAGCGATACCGACTGCAGCTACGTGGACCGTTGCTATGGTGCAGCGTGTAAGGCTGATTTCATCTGGATGGAAACCGAGCTGATCCGATATGAGTGGTCAATCGTGTCTTGACGACAAGTTGAAATTACCGGAATTCATCATAGGTGAGAAAATTACGAAGGTGCAAAATGGATGATGGTTCTAGAAGTCAATGCAGGTTACAGTCAACGTGGAAAGTGTATTCTCTGATTAAAATGCAAAATGATGGTAATAAGCGTACAAGAATGTGCGAAGCAGGATCTAATCGGTTTACTTTGAAATGAATTTAAGCTGATTTCATCATTTTATGACCAGTTTGAATTCAGTAGCTCCAAGTTTAGAAAACGAATGCGCAATTTGGGTTCTATCGATATTGTATATCAGCCATTCGATAGCCAAATGATATAGTGGTTCTCGTAAAGATTGGTAGTTTTGTTCCTTATCGCAGAATATTAGCCCCTTTATTATATGTTGACCATTTCCATGTTAGGGTGGTTCATAAAACCTATTTTTCTTTCAAAAATGACTTTTTTTAGTAATGAGAAATTTTACCAAATTGAGTTTTAACACACTCTTCTAATAAATCATGCTCTACAATATATCAGCCACTTTTTCAATTTTCATTACTTTTGAACCACTGAGCCGATTTTAAAGTTCAAAATATCAAATAAAAGGTAATTAAAAACAATTTTTAGGAAAAAAAAATTATGATTTTAATTTTTTTGATATGTTGTGTAAAAAAGCCTAAGTTTTCAAGAAAAAATACAAAATCAAATTGCACCCTCTGTCTTTAATTGTATTTTTCCTAAAAAATTTTTTTTTTAAATTTTTCATTTCATATTTTGATTTTTAAAATCGGTCCGGTTATAATATTTTCAAAAAAAAAGTGATTTTTGAAAAAAAAAAATAATCGGTTTTTTAACCCCCTTTACATGGAAATTATCACCCTAATGATAAAATTGAAAAATCGGGTCTAATATGTTGCGATAATCTTATCTCATCTTATCTAATACAAACGCAGCCAGTAAGAGAAAGCATCCTGGAAAATGATAAGGTTAGATAAGACCTAATCATTTTTCTTGTCAACATTCATGTTTGCAGCAAACCTGAGATATGACACAAACATCAAAACGGCCAGACCTACTGCGTTGAATTTGCCGTGGAGGCACCATATTCGAAGCCGTTCCTAAATCGACACAATCAATAATGTTCGACTATTTTCAATAACTATTTTTGAAATGTTACTTCTACAAATATAAGTTACAGTGCTCTAGGGACGATGGTGTAACAAGGTTTTAACAAATTCTTGTCTAAATCGAGATGCGATCAAAAATATACGAGTGCGTCATCATTAGGAACGTGTCAAATATGGTGCTGACACGGTTTACTTAAACAGCGATGCATTTCGTGAATCTTAAGGGGTGGGCGGATGCGTGGACATACCGCACCAAACGCGCCGAGCAAGGTTAAGAGTGAATGGAACTTGAAATACTTGAATGAAGTCCTTCCTCAGCAACATGATCGCACCGAACGATGGGACGTTGAGGGTTTAATGGCTTGACAGCGGCTCCAGGAACGAGCTGGGGGATATTGCAGAGACGTAGAGCTTGTAGGTCCTGCACACCGTCGATGTACGTGCACTCGCTGAGTTCCGAATGGATGATCTTCCGTAACTGATGATTGGCTATTTGTGCCAGGAATTGAGCTGCTCGTGCAAATTACATCTTGAATCTCTGCGTTGGTGGCAACCAAGAACCGCACAATCGAATCCAGCTCCATATCTATGGTAGTTGATGACCGGATCAGCACCGATGTATAAATACAACACGGAACAGCACTATTTTATTTTAAAAAGTAATCACAGGTTATCACTGGCAATTCGAATCGCGGAAAATGTGCTCCAATTACGGGACAATTATAAATTTTAAATTTTTCCAAATTTTGAAACGCGCCAAAGAAAACAAACGTCACGTCCGTACGCACGCACCGCCTACTCCTCCGGGTCTAATATTTTGTGATAAGGAACAAAACAACCATTTTTTACTGAGAACCACTTCATAGTTTTGCTATGGAATGGCTGATATATTGTAGAGCATGATTTAGATAAGAAGAGTGCGTTAAAACACAATTCGGTAAAAATTTCGCATTACAGAGCATTTCAGATAGGATCCGTGCTGCTCTGTGGGGATGCATTTTTTTAAGAGGTAAAAAGTGCCTCATAGATGATAATACTTTGAAGAAGCACCATAGTGAGCTGATTCCTCCTGACGGTCTCAAGGGCGTAGCCAGGATTCAAATTAGGGTGGGGGGCAATTTATTTTCGTCGTTTTACCGAAACTGAATTTTCAGTCATACTTCGGCATATGTCATCGATATTTTATGAATTTGTATAAAAATACAACATGTTTATAAATAATGTATCCATGGTGCTAGGACCTTTCAAAACTCTAGGCATTGTCTTCAAGTTTTAAGTTTTTTCAAGTCGAATTAAAATTAAGTTAGTTTTAAGCCTTAAAATACCTCTGATTTTCCACTCCCGGATCTTTTTAATTTCCCTAGAAACCCCTAAAAACATATTATTTTAATTTTTCCCAAGTTTTTTCTAAGTAACAAGTTTCAAGTTATCTCATTTAAATTATTGATAAAGATGCCGGAAATCATGCTCAATAACATTAGGAAGGAAACCAGAATTAATAATTAACCAGGGTGGTAAAGCGATAAATTGATTTAACGAATTGTTTAAGGAATCTAAAGCTTGCAAGAAATTAAGATCCAAAGAATAGATTTTTTGTGGTTAAAAACTCATGTTTTGCTCGGTCCTGAATTTTATTTTCACCAGACTGTGACAGATTTGTAAAATTCGGAGGCTAATATAATCTTAAATCTGTCCTGCTTTGATAAATGTTGAGCATTTCGAACATATTAGTTTTAAACCTAATATGTCTTGAGAAGATCATAACCTTGCAATAATAGTCCTTTTAATGTCTTTTAAGAAAAAACATTAAAAAAAAGGGTAATCCAAACAGCTAGTTTTGCATTTCCCGACGTACCGGCCTTTAATTGTGACCTTTTTCAAGGGTTAAACAGTCTACCGTTTGTCGTTAAATGTTGTTTGTTGCCACGATAATCTTGGAGCAGCTTCCTATATGGTTCATTCCGGGTTGAGTTCCGTCGGAACATGTCGCCATTGGAAACCCTTGGTGATCCGCTGCACCTCACCACTGTTGTTGAATCTGTCCAGAACGTAACGGGTCCCGAAAAGTCTGACGCATTACGTAATTGGTCCACTAACTGACTGCCCACCAACGCTGCACATAATTCAAGTCGCGGCATCGACAATCCGCGCAATGGAGCAACTCGAGACTTTGTAATCAAGAGATGACTGGTGGTTTCTTCTCCACCATCTGGACCCGCCACGTAGACACAACAGCCATAGCCCTTTTCAAAAGCATCGCAGAAACAATGGAGGTGGTGATTTCGATCAATGTTTGATAGAACTCGACGGGGAATGGTTAGCTGTCGAAATTCCTTCCACCACCTCCTCGGTGGAAAGTTCCTCATCCCACGGAATATTGTTTGCCCAAAGCCGCTGAACAAAAATTCTAGCACTAATCACGATCGACCCAAGGAGCCCTAGGGGGTTAAAAAAGCTGAGCAGTTTTACATACCACAATGCGATTAGTTACGTTGTGCAGTTCGGGGAGTGGCGGAACTTTAAAACCGAAACTGTCACTTTGTGGATTCCACAGAAGACCTAAAGCAGTCACCGTTGAACGACAAATTTCCATCTGAGGGGCGCTTTCCCACAGGTTACAAGGAATGTGATTTAAGATACTCTGGTTGTTGCTGCTCCATTTTCTCAACGAGAATCCTCCCAGGCTGAGTAGCTCTCGTAATTGACGACAAATTTCTGTGGCTTCTTCTAGGCTGTCACTTCCAGCTAGAACGTCGTCAACGTAGAAACGCTTGATTACATCCGCAGCGAGAGGGTAATTGTGACCATCGTGTTCGGCAAGCTTGATGACCAACCGCGCAGCTTGGTACGGCGAACATGCAAGTCCATAAGTCACCGTTTTCAGCTGATAGACTTGCAGTGGCATAGATTGTTCCCGACGCCATACGATCTTTAGATACCGCCGATCCTCAGGATGCACCCACATTTGGCGGAACATTTTTTTCCGCGTCCGCAGTGAAGACGTAATGCTGGATAGCAGTGGGGCCATCGTTGAAGAATATCGTTGAGAGGAAGGGCACTGGATCCTTTGCTGCTAGCGTCAAAGACAATCCGAGTTTTTGTCGTGCTGTTTTCTGGCCGATGAACGGCATGGTGCGGGAGGAAATACTGCAGGCCCGCGACACGAGAACCAACTTCCATATGCCCTAATCGTTCTTAGTCGTCCATAAACTTCACATATTCGTCACGCAGATCGTTGTCTCGAGCGAACCGTTTCTCCATAATCAGAAAACGTCGTACTGCTTGGTCGTAAAAGTCTCCTAACCAGCGTTGCCAGTATTCCAGATTTATTTGGATTTTCCAGATTTTTAGTCGTCTTGCCAGATACACAGACAGACCACGTATATTTCCAGATTTATAAATATGTCCCAGATTTTCCCAGATTTT